GGCGACCAGCACGTTCCTGACATCAGAGGCCAGGGAATAAACTTGTTGGGTGAGATCCGAGGGCAGAGAACTGGAGTCCTGTGCATGCCACGGGAACTAATTGTGGCCTGCCCTTAGAAAGGAGGAGGATGAAAGCATTCCCTGTGCTGAGGGAGTCCCCGGCAGCAGCAGTCAGGCAGGGTGGCCCTCCCAGATGCACCAAGGAGCTCTGGGTCACCACAGCCACACCCAGTCCAACCCAGGCCTGCCAGTGACCCCCGAGCAGCTGTGTAGCCATGGGGTATCACGGATCGGTGAGGAGTTGGCCAGAGAACACCTGCGCAGAGTCTGTCTGCTCAGGGCCCCAGCCCTCCCCATGGTGAAGAGCCTGCCAACTCACAGCCCTCCCTCCTGGCAACCTGCCTCAGGGGCTTGCCTGCCATCTCCTTTGAGAGATCTGGGGCCCGTTCCAGAAGACCTTAACAGACCCAAACCCTGTGACCCCCCAAAAGTCTCTGCCCCTTGTCCAGCTTCAGGAATCGGGTGCAAGTACACACACACACACACACACACACACACACACATGCCCTCCACCCAGCACTTGGGCACAGGAGGTACCCCCTCCCTGCCTTCAGGGTGCCTGAGTCACAGTCTGGGCACCGAGGCACTGGCAGGTCCAGAAGAGGTGGTGTCGGGAGAGGTCAGGAACTTCAATGGCAGGAGGTGTGGGCACTGGAGAAAAGGGGTGGTTAGCAGGAGCAGCATCTCTGGCCCAGGCAGAGCTGGATTTGAATCCCACGCCACCCACTAGCTGAGTCACCTTGGGAAAGTCGCAAACGTCTTAGAGCTGCCCGCCACGCCCACATCTGTGAAACGGGTATTCCTTAGCAAGCTTATTCCACAACCATGGAGTGCATAGTAGGTGTCTGTCTTGAAAGATGCACAGCCAGAGCGCTCCTCAGAAGTGAGGATGACGGGGCTGCATCTGAAGTACTTTGGACATGTCGCCGAGCCCTGGAGAAGGACATGCGGTTGGGTAAAGTGGAGGGGCAGCAGAAACGGGAAAGGCCCTTGCTGGGGTGGATGCGCGCAGTGGCTATGGCGACAGGCGCACACAGCAACAACGGCAGGGATGGCGTGGGACCAGGCGGCCACTCAGTTGTATATATGTGGGGTTGCTAGGAGTTGGAAGCAGCCCAGTGGGCCCGAACGACAAGGGCGACAACAGTGAGAACAGCGCAGGGCAGGCTGGGTGCGAAGTGCAGAACCATGGACAACAGCCAGGGCCTTGTCTCCGAGGAGCTTGCCTTCCCGTGAGTATGAGAGTTCATTGCGACTGAGGGGCCGGCCCCATTACCAACTACGTGGACACCTCACACACCCCACCCCTGTCCCAGAAGAATTCATTTCAGGGGACAGCACAGAAGCTACAGCTCAAGGAGAGGGACGTGTCAGATCAGAGCACACAGGAGCCAATGAGGAGGGAGGAAAAGAGTGAAGCACATCCTGGCCCACCAAGCCCTGAGGACAATCTTTTGGCTCAGAGCAACCAATGCACAGAGGACCATAGAGCTGGCCCCACCACGAGACACGTGCCTCACTGACCCATAGCACCCCAGGGGCCAACACTGGAGACACATGCAGGAACTGTGCCCACCCTGAGCCCACTACGCCAATGGGAGACACTGGGGGCGTGCAACAGAGCAGCCAGGGGAACAGAGCAATGAAGTTCCCAGGGAACACCAAAAATAGACTGTGGGGCCAGGGCATGGCGCCCCATCAGACTGGAAGACACTCATAAAGGACAACATATTGACCTTGAACTATTGAAAAAAAGAAGAATTCATTGTGCTGATCTCAGGGTGAAATGAACTAGTATGTCTATATGGCCCGGAGCAGGAGAGGCTATCAGTCAGCCCCTGGCCTTCCTAACTCAAACCGATTCAAGAGAGATGGCAATTTCAAAGCCAGCCTTTTTCTTGGAATAAAGAAACATGAATTTGAGGATATGCCTGAGACAGGTAGCCAAAGGAGTTTCTGTGGTAGTTACATAATCTGTTGTCAATCTGAGACTTCAGAGTGAAGGGGTGGAGTTCAACTTGTCAGGTTGCAGCTTGATGACCTCATTTGGAGGCGCTAAGGAGATAAACAGCTCGCTGGAGGCGGGACACACGCTCACTCCCTGTGAGACATTCGGGTGCACAAGACACATGGAGCTACTCTAGAGCCCTGGAGCTGAAGGAGCCAGGTGGAGACCTCTGCCAATGCTGAGATGCTCCACTGCCACTGGATCCACAAGACTTCCCACCCACTGGCCTGTGATCTTCCTGCATACAGCGTCATTGCATGTGTTGCGTGAGTCTGAAGAAGACTTTATAGATTGATATCAGACATATGGGCTAATATCGAACTTGATCTGGACTGGGCTGGGATGTTTTCTCAATTTTCAACTGCTCTTGTATATAAAGCTCTTTCTCATACACATATGTCTATGGATTTGTTTCTCTAGTCTACTCAGACTTAACACAAAGACCTAAATGCAAACCCCTAGAACTATAAAGATCATTAAAAAAAATAAGGATAGCCGAAAGGTTCTAGTACATGGCATAAACACACCATCAAATACAATGAAACACACACATCAAAAGACTTCATCAGAGTAAAAAGCGCACCCACAGATGGGGAAAAAATTGGTAATGATATATCCTTTAGGGATGAGTCTCTAAAATCTATAGAAAATGAAACACTTCAACAAGAACAAGACAAATAATCCAATTTCAAAACAGGCAGAAGACATGAACAGACAATTCACCACTTCACCAAAGAAGACATTCAGGCAGTCAACCCACATATGACAAAAATGCTCACAATCACTAGCTATTTGAAAGATGCAAATCAAAACGATGAGGAAATATCACCTCACACCAGCATTGATAGCAAAGTTACACACACACACACACACACACACACACACACCAAAACAACAACAAAACCCCAGAAAATAAATGCTGGACGGGTTCAAAGGCATTGGAATCCTCATCCCCCACTGATGGCACTATAAAATGGTACAACACTGTGGAAAGCGGGATGACAATTCCTGAAACATCCAGGAATGGAAATACCATATGACCCCGCACACAATCCCTTTACTGGACATTAACATATACCCTAAAGATACAGGGAACAAAGCAGGAGCAGATATGTGCACACAAACACGTACATATTATTCACAGCACTATTTACAGTAGCAAGAAGATGGAACAGCTGAAATGCCCATCAGGGGAAGAAGGGATAAATAAACATTGGTGCATATACACAAGGGACTGCTACGCATCCTAAAGAATAATGCTGAAACAGGGAAACGCCTCATGACACGGATGGAGTTGGTGGGCATTTGGCTGAGCGAAGTTAATTAGACAGGAGGGCAAATAATGCATGACCTCACTTATGAAATTAAGATAAAGATTTTCAAACCAAAAGGATAAAAAATAGTTGATGGTTGCCAGACATGGTAGGAAGGTGGGGAAGGGAAGGGGGAGAAAGGGCAGTGGGGAGACAGGGGATGATAAGAGTCTACAAGAGAGAGATGGCGGGAGAGGGCAGGCCCAGCTACTGGGAGAGTTGATAACCTGTTAAAGTTGTTGAATACAGAAGTGGCCATCTGCTATGTAAAGTTCCACCTCATTCAGAACAGAAACACAAACTAGGTAACCTATATTGGATGATCTCCATCAGGAGCCAATTCCAGAAGATTCTTTCACTCTCCCCACCTCCCAGTCCCGAAACCAGAGATGATTTTGAGTTCGACGAGGCCCACTCAGGATCCATTTGGAAAGAGCCCCCTTGAGGTTGGAGAAGCCCCTTCTACTGTCACACATCTCCCCAGATGAGACCCAAGTGTCCGTGGTATTTGTTCCTGAAAAGGGGGCGGGGGCGGGGGGAGGTATCACACATCTGTTCACAATGTCCACGCAAGGGAGATGTCTGCGCCCCGACTGCGACCCTAAACAACAGCCAGGAAGCACGAGGCATTCTAGTTGTGCAGGCGAATATTAAGCAAATAATCGAACAAATCACTGCTCCGAATTGCAGCTCTGGCGATGTGCTGAACGCCAGGAGAAGCTGTATTAGAGCTGATCTAGTCCGAGAAGGCCGTCTAGTCTGGGCGACCTGGGGCGGGGGTGGGGGGGAGGGAGCCGGGTGCGTAAGTGGGCGGAATTCGACGCAGGGGGAGGTCTGTGGACCCTTGGGGTGCCCGAAAGTCCTCTGGGGTGAGCCGCCGTCGGTTAAAGGGAATGGCGGGACCAGGGTCCCGGCGGCGAGCTGCAGGCGATCCCCGCCTCTGGGTTTTGGCGAG